CACCATTTCTCTACCTTGTTACATTGTACAGTTCGGGTCACTTCTTGGTGTTTTTTTCTCGCTAGTCTATCATGTATTCCCTTGGTCTACGAGAACCACCCATTTCAACCAACATTATTGCTCCATACTCCCTATGTCTTATTCTTTGTCGAAAGTTTTGTCTATATATTTCAATAATCAGCCGCTAGGATACTCTCTGTATCCCCAGATGTTTCAGAGTAATGTACGGTCTTGGTCGATTTCACCAGAAAGGTCGACTCGCCAATACCTTATAGTAAATCTAACCGAAATATAGTGGTTCAAAGTAATCAGGAACAGTAGACACGGGCATTTTTAACCGGGCACGTAAAATTTTGAAGAGAAAAAATTACAATCAAGCTAGTTTCCTCCCTAAATGCGATCAAATGGACCGCGAGACAAGGTACGAATTTAAGCATTCTGATACATCGACGGTGAAACTACCAAACCACGTATCTCGGTTTGCGACGTCGCAGACTTCCTGTCATGCTTTATTTTTTAAATGAAAAACTACTTAACGTCCAGTCTTGAAAATTTCTGTGATTTTTCCTCTTCGTGCGGAATAAATTCTGTGAAAATTTCAAGGAATGATATTGATTTGGTCTACTTCAAAAAAATAAAATGCGAGCGTAGATTTTTAAACAGCGCAAACGAGATACGTGGTTTGGTAGTTTCACCGTCGACATATCCAGAATTTCACGTAAAACGCGATTCTCGTATCAAAAAAGATTGATATCAACTCCTAACTACGATATCAACGTTTTTAGTTCACATTGGTGACGGTAAATTTGAATTGCCCGGTCACAAAAAAACGCAACACTCGACGTGAGTCGAATCATGCACGCACTACAGCGGTTTTGGCAGGCTTCTGAATCGAGCAATGTTCCTTCCCGCCTTGTGTTGTTCAGATTGTTAACAACGAGTAACAGCTGAATCGAAGCACCGAAATCGAGGGTGCTATATTTTCATACCGCCAAGACTGCTGTATGGCAACGTTTAGTGCGCGATTTGTCGCGAGTAAACTTTTGTTTTTTCGTAAGCGAGAGGTTTGAATTGAGGCGTCAAGAAAAATTAAACTCCTCGGTTAAGAGTTGATTTCGGGAATATCTGTTGCGCAAATCGTGTTTTTTGTGAAATTTTGGTTAAGAATCATGTATTAGAATGCTTAATTCGCAACTTGCCTAGTGGTCCATTTAGCCTCGATCAGAGGTTCTCCTATAACCGGTTTACCCTCTTCTTGATTTTTCTGCAGCTTGAGCAAAGCTGCAATCCGCCATCACATGGTAGAATGAGAGTGCCAATCGCGGCGCTGTTTGTCTTGGGGCTTTTCTGCTTGAACGGAACCCTCGTTTGTGGAGCTGAGGTTCCATACTACTGTCTTGACCTGAACAATGTTAAGATCAAGACTGGAGATATCATCACAACCAAACCTTACGGAAGTAAATTGTGGTGCGGATCGAAGAAAGGCCAATTCCTCGCTTTGTCGAATACTAAGCTGGTATATCTAAAATGTTATACGCCAAATCCAAATGAAGCCACGGTTACAATATTTGATGTGGGCGACCTCTCGTTTCGTAGTTCGGAAATAATTTTTAACTCAGCGGAACAATGTCTCATCACGAAAAATACACCGAGACAAGAAGGCGGTCTGACGGCTCTCGCAAACAGGCTATCAGGAGTCACGGTGCCTTATGACCGTGAGTTATTTTTCTTTCAAGTCTCAAAGTGGATTCCCAGCTTTTGAAGCGTTTATAGGTTACGCAACGCACTTTTTTGGCATGTTTGACTACCCTCCCCCTTTTAGCGGCTCTGGTGCTTGCACTAGAGCTGCTATTCCGGACGGTCCCAGCTGGGGAGTATCATTGGACCATGTTACATTGGAGAGACCGCGCGTTGGTTGATGGGAATCGGCGCCATTTTCTGCTGTTTAGGGGGGACCGATTTTATTTTAATTGATATCTTTTTCCTGTGAGCGAATGCTATGTTGTGTAGTGTATTTTTGGAATCATGGTGATACTGTCAATAATTCAAAACGGGTCTGTGCTTTAATCTCGCACTGGAAAAAATGTACTTTAAGTTTAAAATTTGAAAATTCAAATCTATAAGTTTTCGCGCTTTTTTCGAAAAATGCCGTGGTTGGAGCTTCCTAGTCATACTACTCGACATCAGCTGATAGCAAACAAAAGTTACCAAGGAAACCGTAAACGCGTAACAACTACCTACCGTCGCCAGAGCCGCTTTCCGACGCGAATGCGTTGGAGCTTCCTGCTTGTTTTAAACTTCTTACTGCAACCCTAGGCTTTCTGTAGTGAGTGAGTACGCGTCTCTGAATATCGCGAGAATTGGGAAATTTTTAATGACAAAGTGACAAGTATCGTCGAAATAATGAGGAAAATACATAGGTACCGACGGTGTAAGTCGGCAATCACATAACTCGTTCGCGGTGTCTGAAAATCTCCGCCTCCATAGTATTTTTTTGAAGGAGAACAAACTGACATCATTCCTTGAAGTTTGTGCAGAATTGTCTCCGCACAGAGAAGAAAAATCAAGGCAGTTTTAAACAATTGCCGTTGAGTAGTTTTCCGCTTAAAATACCAAACCACGTATCTCGTTTGCGGCGTTTAAAAATCTACGCTCACATTTTATTTTTTTGAAGTAGACCAAATCAATATCATTCCTTAAAATTTTCACAGATTTTTTTCCGCACGGAGAGGAAAAATCACAGAAATTTTCAAGACTGGGCGTTAAGTAGTTTTTCATTTAAAAAATAAAGTATGACAGGAAGTGTGCGACATCACAAACCGAGTTAAGTGATTGTCGACTCTCGCCGTCTACAAATTCTATTGACTTGTGTCGTCGAAAGTCCAGAGACAAGTGGATGATACTGTGTAAAGCTGAAATGAAAGTTCATAAATGGATGAGAATTTTAGAAAATGAGCAAACTACGTATGAAGTATCTCGATCAACTATCTTGATCATTGGGTCTGTTGCAAACTTCAGCTAGAGCAAAAAGAAGTTTTATTCCTCATAAAATATGGCTTAAAAATCACGATAAGTGAGGACAATTTTAAGATACACTCGTAACCTCTCAAATTTGCGCAAGAAATATGCGCTTTTTTAAGCCTCTCGCTTCGAAAACGATACTGCGGCACACATGAACATTTTGTAAGAGGAATCGCTCCATCCAACCCCTTGCTACGCAGATTCGACACGAATAACAACAACGCACGTAATAAGACGTGATTTTATCAACCGACGTGTTTATACTTACTATTTCCTCCCATTGATTAAGACCATACGGTGCTTCCTCACGATTTACGCGCGGAAGCGTCAGCCACGTCGAATATTGCATATCGACGGTGAAAGTCGGCAATCACATAAATCGGTTTGCGATGTCGCAGACTTCCTGTCATACTTTATTTTTTAAATGGAAAACTACTCAACGGCAATTCTTTAAAACTGTCATGATTTTTCTTCTCAATGCGAACAAAATTCTGCAAAAACTCCAAGAAATTTTATCAATTTATTCTCCTTTAAAAAAACGACGTAGAGGCGGAGATTTTCAGACACCGCAAACGAGTTATGTGATTGCCGACTTTCACCGTCGATATGTATAGCATCCTGAGGACGTCTCTTCAAAATGACAGAAATACCGTTTGAAACAAGGATATCACTTCTGTTGTTGACTTTATCGGCCATACTGTATCAAATTTTTGAAATTTTTGTAAAACTTTTTCTTACCGATTTTTCTAAAAATTGTTGTTGATTCTACACTACAGCTGTTTCGAGCCAACGCTCATCGTCAGGTCATTTTAAAAAATGTATAAAAACTAAAATTACGATGCGTTTTCGCGATCGTGAGTGGTTCGGTATCCGCGTTCGCGTTCGTGACGTGACTGATGACGTGACGTGACGTGACTGATGACGTGACGTGACTGATGACGTGACGTGACTGATGACGTGACGTGACGTGACTGATGACGTGACGTGACTGATGACGTGACGTGACTGATGACGTAACGTGACTGATGACGTGACGTGACTGATGACGTGACGTGACTGATGACGTGACGTGACTGATGACGTGACCCGAATGCCAGGGTTATCAGTCACGTCACGAACGCGAACGCGGACGCGGATCATAATTTTAGTTTTTATACATTTTTTTAAATCACCTGACGATGAGCGTTAGCTCGAAACAGCTGTAGTGTAGAATCAACAACAATTTTTAGAAAAATCGGTATGAAAAAGTTTTACAAAAATTTTCAAAAATTTGAAACAAGGATATTTCCTGTTGGTTCAACGAGGATTCTCGTCTGGAGATTATGAACGAGAAATCTCTATTGATCCAACGATAACTTTGCTCCGTCTTATTATCCGTTTGGCACTGAATATCAAGCCTATCAAGTCAATCGCTTTTCGTTAGTTTTGTCTAATATTGCACAGATACGTTTACCTAATTTTATTGAGATAGTACAGCCAAGGCATTCCGTTGGTTAATTTTTTCTATTTAATAAATTACACACAATGTGGAAGCTTTTCGGGGCACCGTGCCCTACACACACTCGCACTACAATCATTTCCCACCAAACTGCGCGTGTGCGTGTATACGCGCGCATTCCTGATCTATGATATATGGACTGCATTTTGCAATTTGGAACTATAAATTCTGCCTCTTCTGGAAAAACACTCGTGTGCATAGGGAAACTAATGGCACATACGTTGTTTTTAAACCGTGCTAGAATTTATAGTTCCAAATTGCAAAATGTAGTCCATATGATCATTGTTATTAATCGGAATCATCAATGTTTATCAACTTGTCCTCTGTTATCAACGATTCGTAAAACTTTTCTTTAATTTAAGGTTGCGATGAGAAAATTGAAATTTCCTGAATTTTGAAAAATCGAAATTTTCCGAAGTTTGAAAAATTACAATTTTCATTAATTCTAATCGTGTCAAATAAATCTTACAAATTGCGGAGTGACTGTGTCAAGTAGAAAATGAGGCGACACGATTTGCCGGAGGAGCTCTGGCAGGATCTCTACCGGTGGCGATCGGGGGTCACAGAGCGTACGGGAGCACTTTAAAAGCGGTACATTAGTAGGAAGTAGAATAAGAAAATTTTGGAACTCCAACTTGGAATACTCGGAAGTATATTTTTAGTAACACATATCATACGTCCTTCTTGAAGTGGTGTTGCGTCAGAGCAACAAATGGACTTTGCGGGTGTTTTGGGGGTTGAAGTAAAAGATTTTCAAGTAGAAAGCGCCCAGTTCTCATTTTTCTCTAGTTCATGCAATTTTCAACAAGATCGAAGACCTGATCAAAATTATTCCCCAGTGGCATGGTGTTGCGTCATTGCAACAAATGTTTGAAGGGGAATTTTAGGACCAAACTCAAAATTTTCAAAAAAAAACCTGTGGGCCTCTATTTTTTCTATTTTACACAACACATATGAACGTATTTCTGCCAAACGGAACCAAGCGCCAATTTGAGTTCCTTTTGAGGAATTTAGAATCCCGGATTGAGCGTTCTGTCAAACGGAACTGAGCGCCATGGAAAAGCATTGCGAGTATAGGAACGAATGAGCCCGACGCCCGGTTCCGCCGCCAATCCAAGCCCCCCTCCACCTTCTTCCCCCGATGGCGCTTAGTTCCATTTGACAGAAATACGTCCATATTTAATTAATCAAAATCGGTGGCCTAAAATTTCGCCACGCAACAAAAGGTTAAAGATTATTCTGAGAAATGCAACTGTATCTGCTTGTAAGTTCGCACTTGTAATTGATTCATCTAAGTACAGTTATCCATGTTTGTTAATAAGAGCTCAAGAGGGGGCCTGATGCCCCGAAAAGCTTCCACAACGTATGTAAGTAATTAAATAAAAAAGAGAAAAAACATCACTCAACGCAATACCTTGGCTCCACTATCCCAATAAAATATTAATTGGTATTGCTAATTTTACAGCCATATTCAATGTTTACCTTGCTTGACTATTCTTCTTTGAATGTTCGTAAAACCTCGATTTCTATGCATTTAGATATTGGGTGCAATGCTCAGCACTACTTCGACTATTTGCTTCAAAGCCGTGTAAATAATGCAGCTGGAAATTGTCCGGTGTTCAGAACTTTCACGGATGCCGAAAGCGTCCAGAGTAAAGATTTTCAACTCGCATCTGAGAAATCCCTCTACAACTGGCCCGCCACTTCCTGGTTTTCCAATTCGAAGAGAGCACTCACCATTGTTGAGAACCCGCGATGGAAACCACAATCGACGTATGTCAGTGGTTCCATGAGGAGCTCGATGGGTTATGTGAGTAGGACGGGTTCTCGCGGTTCGGGGAGACGTGGGCCTAGAAATGCCACAACTGCTTCGAGGACTCAGGGGGAGATCGACACTGCGAGCCGTTATCGTGGCGGTGGAGGTGGCACTGGTAGTGG